GCCCCGCGCCCGCTCCCGGCCCGGTGGGTGCAGCCGGGCTCGCCGCGGCCCTCGGCCTTGTCTCGGGTACTTTCGTGTGTGCCGCTGATGTGCACGCGTGGGTCTCCCCGGGCCACCCGCGTCGTGCGCTGTCAGCGGGTTTGGGCGCTCGCCGCTCTCCTGTGTCGGAACTGGGGCAGCTTAAAATACTTACAGGAGGTCCGAGGGGTTTTGTCCTGGCAGCGATCGCTGGAGTGCGATTCTGTTCTCACCTTGATGAAGCAAACCTTAAAAGAGAGGAGTCAGGCCGAGGCCCGTTCCGAGATGAGCTCTGGGGGGGGCGAAGGCAGAGGTCTGACTCTGACCCCTTAGGTTCCATTAGGCTGCCGTGAGCTGAGTTTTAAATTTTATTTTTTTTTTTCCCCCCACCGTTCCCTGCGATCTGGGTACTTCAGCCCGTAAGTACAAATTCTGCTTTCTGTACAGCACCTGTCTGCCCTGATGGCCGCTGGATTGGATGTTACGACATTGATGTTCTTCAGCAACTCCTGGCTTTTAAGTTTTTTGTTGGTATCCTCATCTTTGGATGGTGGCCCTCCATATGCTCTTTCAGGCCATCGATATAAAGCTGTCACATAACATCTGCTCACTTTTAAAAATGAGCTGTAACTTTATCTTTCTTTTAAACATGTGGTTTGTTTTTGTTTTTTTTTTTCCAGGGAGCATATTTAGAGCAACTCTGAAAACAAACAAATACACACTAATTTTTAAAAACTGCAGGCGTGTGTGTAGTTATGATGAGTGAGCTAGTGCTGCAAAAGGTGAACGCTTGTGTCTAGTGCCTTAAAATGCTGCTCACTTGAAATAAAAGGAGCTTGTTAGTCTTATTGGAGGTTCTTATCTTTTAGCGTTAATGTTTTTGTGCTTGATGTTCAGGGTCAGTAATTTCTTCTACTGCGTTGCTTTGGGAAATGCAGAACTGTCTCTTGCTTTCAGTATTTCCTGGGTTAGTTAACTATTAACTCCTCCTCTTTCGGAGAAAGGGAAACTAATCTTCTCTTGAGTTTCATTTCAGCAGCTCACCCAGATTCTACTAAGAATCTACTATTAGAATGTCAACAGGCAGGTAAATGCCTAATTAATGCACTTTTAAAGGAAGCTAATATTAAACTTTACTTTTTTAGAAGCATTAAGATACTAAAATAATCTCCATTAAAAAAAATAATAATATTCTGTGCAACATAATACTCCAAATACTCATGACTTCCTGCAAGAATTTACTTTGCAAACAAAATCAGAGTTTGCAATACAGCAGATGGACACACCCGTGCATGTGTCTGCATCTTGGTGCAGGGAATGTAGTGAGGCCTGAGCTGTGCAGGTAGGTCTGTGAAAGGTCACAGGTATTTTAGGCAGGATAGCTGCAATTCTTAAAGGAAGAGGCAGGGATTTCCTCGGAAATGTTTTGCATCAGTTCAGGACACACTGTCATTTTTCTTTTGTATATGGCTGGAGTTCTGTTTTTGTTCACCAGTTTTTAATGCCTCAAGAACATTCAGATTATTCCTTTTGAATGCATTTGTTCTTCAGATACACTGAGTTGTTGGGTTTTTTTTCTTCATAAGAGCAACTTCTGAATTGTGACAACTGTAAAAACAAGGACCATTTTTTCACTCCAGTGAGTGGACTTTTTGAACTTTGCCTTACAAAGGAGGATGTTGTCCCTGAGACTTACTGCCCCAGAATATTGTTCTGCATCTTTAAAGAGGAGTTTCAGTGATGAATGTGTAGTCACCTCGGTCTGACAGTGCATGAAAAATCTTTAAGGGCAGTGATAATGAATACAAAAAGAAACAGCAAATCTTCTGCTATCCATTTATGCCTTTACAACCTGCCAAAGGCATGATTCAGTTTCCAAAGCTAGTTCCTACTTCTGCTTATGTTACACTAATTCCCATTCTTCTCCCCTCAGTCTGGATGTTATACTTTATGGCTGAAGCTGCTAATGTTTTTATTCAATATTGAGGTTAGAGGTTTTTTTATTATTTTTCACTATGCACTTTCAAAATCAACTGAAAATTCTACTTTTATCATTGCATTTCACTTGCATCTCTGCAAATACTCCATATTTGCCATTTGAAATTCCTGCAGGTGTGTCTTTGCAGCTCTTTTGCTTCAAAGAGTGAGTGTTGAAAATTTTTGGGGTTGGTGCTCATTTTAAAAAGGTGACCTCTTAGTCTGCTGTAATGCATGGGATTCATGTTGTGCTGCTCAGAGCTGTATTTTAATAACAAGCCCTGCAGCTCTGCCTTCTCCTAACTTTATCAACAAAAAGTTTCAATCACTCTCCTAGGATTCTGTCATCTTTCTCATTCCCGTGTCTTCTTCACAATCCACACGTCCTTTCATCCCTTTCAGTTGCAGCTGGTTTCCAGTTTTCAGCCAAATATCGTTTGTGTTATCCTCTCCTAAATTTGTTCCCTGCTTTCCTCGTGCTCTTTGCACAGCGATGCACGTTCTGACTGATGTGTTGCAGATTTGGAGGGAGAAACCCACTTAGATTGCCTGTCAGTTGTGAGAAATAAGGGCATCTGATTTATGCATGCGAGTTTCAATCTTGCAGTTTAGTTTGTCTTCCTACCCTGGAAAGGAAGGGAAGGGGATGTTTCTGTCTGTCAAATAGAAGTTTATAAAGACCCAGGAACAACACCTGCTTGGAGGAAGGGCTGGGTTTTGCTCTCTTTGCTTCCCCATCTTGTTCTGTCTAATGCTGTGCTCCAGAATGCCTTTCTCCTGGATCTAGCTTCTTTCTAGACGAGCCTTACAGCACCTTGTGCCGTGGCGTTGTCTCTGTATCTACACTTACTCTTTGGCAAATTGGTTCTTTTTCAAAATTGGTGCCAGTCTACTGTTAGCCTGTCCCACCTGACTGTGTTAAAGGATGTTATTTTAGGATCTTAAGTGTAAAGAGTATCTGGAAATGGATTCTTCTCTAATTTAGATCCCAATTTTCATGAATTCCACCTGTATCAGAATTACATCCTTGGAGCTCAAAAGCTATAGTCAAAATCACCAATGAATTTCAAAGTGCTAAATCCCAGTCTGCTTACAGCTTGAATAAAAGAATAATATGGGTCTGTTTTGGCTGAACATATTTCTTAGTCTTGCGTTTGCAGCCACTAACTTTTTTTCCAAATGTTAGCTGTGCAGCACAGCTTTTTATAGTTGTGTGCATTTCTGCAGTCTGGGTAGATTCTGGGGATGGACACCAGCGCTTGGATTTCTAATCCCGTATGGGCCATGTGGCTGTGGGAAGTTCTGCCACCTATTTTGGTCTATGTTGTCATGTATAAAATGGAAATGTGCTGCAATGTAGACAGGCATTATTTTAGGTCATCACACTTTATTACATTTGAAAAACAACTTCAGCTTTATTTAATTCCTGTCACCAAAGTACGGGGGAATCGTCGTGTGCAAATGTACATTTAAAATGTAATTTTAAAAACTTCTGCATTGTTGACTTCCCTCTGCGGATAAAGGTTTGATCTCTCAAATGCTGTGCATGCTTCATAAAATTTAAGTATTAACAATCAACAGGGCTGCTGAATGGATGATTTCATTACAATGAGATGTTAAAAAAATTCTAATTCAGTTCCTGCCTTTGTAATCAATGAACCAGTGATCCATGTTCACTAGAAAGTGGTTTTGGTTTTTATTTTTCTCTGGGTAAATGAAGTTAGAAAGTATCAAATGAAGTTAAAAAAAAATAACTTGGGAGAGCATTTGCTGCTGCTTCTAAGTTTCTGAAAATGCTTATTTTGCAACAGTCTGCACATCTTATCACTGTTTCACAAAGATGCTGCTCCTGCTGTGAGCTGGCATTGAACACTCCTGACTGCGCTGTGCTTCGCATCGGGCGGATCCTTTTATTCATGAGCAGTCTCGTTCATTTTGGTGGTTCTGCCTTGACAGAATGCTTTTAAGTGTTTCATGGTTTGGGACAAGATGGTTCAGCACTCTGCAAGGTTAAACCTGTCTGTGTTGCTGGTGAAGTGTAACAAAATATCTTACTGAAGTAATCTACTGTAAAAAAAAAAAAAAAAGTGTATATATAATTCAGTTAAAAAGCATTTTAAATTAAATCATCCTTGCGACTTTTATTTCCATGAAGTTCAGAGGAGGAAGTGAAGCTGGGTTTTGTGATTTCTGTCCAAATGCTACGTTTGGAATGAATCCAGCTACACCTGTGTTATGAAGAGAACTTGACATCTAATTGCCAGGTGAACATGGCACCACAGGTTTTTCTCTAGAAATTTGAATTATGACTAAGATCAAGTGAATTCAGCTGTAACTAGGTAAATCTGTCACTTGGCAACTAATGGGGATCATGTGAGTCACTGCTGTGGGTATTCTCATTTCATATGTATTTCTTTATTAGTGAAGTTTGATTTTTTACAACTAAATGCCTTTTATTTGTAGGAGCAAAGATCAAATTTGTCACCGCTGTCTCGGAGTTTTCAGGTAGGCTTGACATAAAGTTTGGTTACTAGGAGAGATAAGTAATAATGAAGATGATGATTGGAATGGAAGTCCAATAAAATAAATACCTAATGTCACCATTTGGCTCTATTATCCACTCTCTAGATCAGCATGATGCTAAGTCAGCAAGGCTGCTCTTGAGTATAAAGTGAAGATGAAGAAAACTATTTCAATAATGTCTACAACGAATGAGAATACTGAATTTAAGGGATATTTCTGCATCTTAAATTCTGCAATTTTAAGGTCTCATCTCTGTCCTGACCAGGATACCCTGGTGGCCCTAGTGACTCGGACAGACAGGGCTTAGTTTGTCTTGTTTTAAAGCCTTTGAGTTAAAGAAGAAAATGGCACTTTATTATTCAAGATTTTCAGCTGGTTCTGACCATTTCTGCAGGAAAACCCAACTGGGATAAAAGATATGCATAAAACATTAAGACCTTGATTAATAAGACTAGAAAGAAAAAGAAATGGTTTGGTTACAGGAGATGCTGTGAACCTCTCTTAGTCCGAAGTTGTCTTCAGGAATGCAGAGAAACAACTGCAGTAACAAACTGGCTGGTTTTGGGAGTGCAAAGTGGAGGGCACAGGAGACCAACAGGCAGGAGAACATGTGTGAGAGATGCTAAATTCAGTCAGTATATATATATTTTTTTAATTTTTTTTTTTCCAGAAGACAACCTTATTCTGGATCTCTAATCTGTCTCTTTTCTCTAGTTCTCAGGCAGGCGCAACTGGAATGCAGCAAAAGACTTGCAGAGATACAGACATGGTTACCCGGTATGGACTAAATGATGATGCACATACTCTTGTGGCTCTTCCTCATCGTGTGCTAAATTTAAGAACACTTTCTAGATGTGAAAGCACCCTTTTGTCTTTACATTGACAGGCTCAGAACCTTTAAAGGATTCATTTGTGAGGAGGAAGGGATGATGTGTGTGTGGGTGCATCAGAAACAAGCTGTTACTTCCCAAAACACGTTTCAAGGATTTAGCTTGAAATGTTTAGGAAACATGAGAGAAAGCAAGGAGAAGTGTTAAAGTGAATATTGCCTTTTAAAAGATTGCTGCTTGTTGATTTCTTGTTCTCATCTCCAGGGTTTGATAGAATCAGAAAATGAGGAGGAAGAAGAGATGTGGAATTTAAGCTTTTATAAAAATGAGATTCGCTTTTTGCCTCAGGGTAAGTAGCTTGTGTAATAACTGATGCAACTCTGCTGCAGCTGGTTGAATTGGTGAAGGAGTAGCTTGATCTGTGTGGGACAATTATTAAAAAACAAACCAAAAGAACCAGAGCATACCACCAAAACAAGAAAAAACCCAAACCGAAGCAAAAAAGAAAAAAAAACCAAACCAAACAAGAATTTCCATTTTGAAAATGTCCTTGTTCCTGCTGTATGTTCCTCGGTTTTCTCTTTGGCTGTCAAAAGTTAAGGAGGTTTTTTTTATGGCTTACCAGGATGATTGTCTTGTTAGAAAAGCTAATGCCTCATGTGAACGCCTGGCTCTGGGTAACGAGCCACCTTGGGTGACTGGCTAACTTTTAATTTTCATTTGGTGTCATTTCTTCTTGTCTAACTTTTCTCCTTTTCTTTTCAGGTTTGCACATTGAAAACCTGCTTGAATCTTGGTGGGACAACTATGAAGTTCTGGAAGAAAACCATTCTTACATACAGTGGTAAACTGCATGAATATAGTCCCTCGCTTTAGTTGTGCCTCTCTTTAATAGTCAGTTGTGTCTGTGTTCCTGAAATCAGCTTCCCAAAAGGCCTGGAATTACTCTGGAGTGAAATCTGTGTCTACTTTATTTTTATTGAGTTATTTTCTTCTGGAAAAAACGCAGTGGAAATCATGAAGACGGGGGTTTCCAGCACAGCTGTGGCAGTCTATCTGCCATGCTTGATCTTACAGGATACTGCAGAACGAGGTGTTAGGGCAGCAAGAGAGATTATGATAAGCAAAGTATATTGTTATCTTTGGTGTAGACGGTGCTTTTATGGGAGGGATTTATTTGTCATACAGTAAACTACTTCTGTGTCCGTAAGGATGTGAGGTCTCCAAGAGATGCCTCATGATATCATGATTTTTGGAGTCTTTTTGTAGTTTTATCAGAATGGGCACCCTGGGTGGGATGTCATCTTTCCTTATTTGGGCTGAAAATTTCTTTCCCTGCAGGCTATTCCCTTTACGTGAACATGGGATGAACTGGCGTGCCAAACCACTCACATGTCAAGAAATCAAGGTATTTAAAGCTTTTTGGGGTGGGTTTTTTGAGATCTGAAGGATGTTAGGCTTGTTCCGTAACTCTTTATATTTGAAATCTAGGGTTGGTTTGTTTTTTTTTTTACATTGCTTCCTTGGGGCCCTAATGTGAATGGAGTGCTCTCCAGCACTGTTAAGCATTTGTCTGTCTTGTGTCTGCCAGTAGGTATATCAGCAAATGAAATGTTTAGTGATATAATCAAGTGTTGTTTAAAATTTAGGTGCCACTTAAACTGATGCTGGTAATTAGGGAATCACACCTTGTACTCATTGGTCTGTCTTGTTTTCAGGCCTTTAAGAAGTCCAAGGAAGTTATGCGGAGGTTTATACGTGCTTATCAGCTTATGCTGAGATTTTATGGAATCATTCTGATCAACGAGGCAACTGGAGAACTTAGGAGAGCAGAAAATTGGGCTGAACGATTTAAAAACTTGAATCGGTGAGTCTCTTTATGCTGCTAGGCATTTACTACAGCCAGACACTTCTTTGAGAAGAAAAAAATAAAAGCCAAAGTCAAGAAAATCCCCAGCCCTTGAGGAACGTAGGCTTTTGTTCAGAAAAAAAGTTAGCTAGCTAAAGGAGTTTTAACTTGGCTCAGCATCTTGACTGTAGGTCATCACACTGTGACTTTAATTCAGGTGACAAGTATAATGGGTAAAGCAGCTGAGACTGGTTTTCTTTTGTATCTGATGCAACTGTTAACAGCAGGCATTCTTCATGTTGGTTTCCTGAAGTATGAAATACAGACTTGGAGATATTAATATTCGCTCTACCAGCTTGTGTTTCAAACCATGTTTTAGGCAGGAACCACTGACACGTTTTCACAGGTAGCCGAATTGTCGTTGTAGCATTCTGTTAAACTACAAAACTGTTCCCGTATGCTTCCCTGGTCGTTTATAAAGGTGTCTTAACGTGTAAAATCCTTTGAATCCTTGGTTGAAAAGTTCTCTGCAAATTGATGGTAATGTTTTTATGTTATTGCGGGTCTTATCAGAGATAGTAATGATGCTTCATACTCTAGTACCACTAATGATACTAACAAGGGCTCTGAGAGGGCTGGGCATACTCACAAAAGAAAAAGCAACTTGAAGACTGTCAAGTATGAAAAAAACAAAACAAAAAACTTAACAATTTTGCCTATGTGTTTCGTTCAGGTTCAGCCACAACAATTTGCGGATTACTCGCATCCTGAAGTGCCTGGGGGAGATGGGTTATGAAGACTATCAAGTGCACTTGGTAAAGTTTTTCCTAACAGAAACTCTTGTTAAGGAGACATTACCAAATGTCAGAAGAAGTGCCTTGGATTACTTCCTGTTCACCATCAGAAGCAAACGGAAGAGAAGAGAACTAGTCCACTACGCTTGGCAACACTTCAAACCTCGAGGCAGCTTTGTGTGGGGGCCACATGACAAACTCTTGAAGTACAGGCCCCGCTCTGCCAAGTCACAGCTGCACCAAAAGGCTGAAGATAAACAGGAAACTCTGGGTAAAAACTGTGGTGATTCTGTGGAAGAGGATCAGAACCAGTCTCTAGAGGAAGAACAGAAAGCTGGAGATGCTTCAGGCTTTCAGCCTAAAGTGGACAATGAAGATATGAAAGAGAAGATCAGTGAACGTGTCGATAAAGACCTAAAAGAGAAGATCAGTGAACGTGTCGATAAAGACCTAAAAGAGAAGATCAGTGAACGTGTTTTGAAGAGAGGAGATGGTGAAGAGGAGAAAGAGGCTTCATTTACCCAGCCGGAGGAGAAGGATTTAAACAGCGAGGCTGAAGAAGTGCAGGGTACAGCAGAGAATGATTGCACAAAGGAGAGCAAGAAGAGAAAACTGGATGTAAATATGACAGACACTAAAAAGAGTGGACCGTTGAAAAGCCCTACTGATATTGAAAACATTTCCCGTAATCTGGGAGAATGTGCAATTGATGCAGAAATCCCTTCCTCAGCTCCACTCTCACAAGCAGAAGAGGACCAGGAAACACTGAAAGAAGACAGTGCAAGCACCAAAGACTCAACAGTGCCAGAGACAGCCGATGCAGCTGTGAAACGGAGGAAAGTTGATAAAAAACCGTTAAAAAGGATCAACTTAGCCATAAACCTGAACATGGGGCCTACTGCCTCTAGTGCCAAGTTAAATCCATCTGTTGCAAACACTGAGGCTGAAAAAGAAAATGTCAGTGAGGAAAATGCGACTGTGAAAGTAACAAGTGAGAAGGGTGATGGTGATACAAATGGTGGGGCTGTGAGCCCCCCAGTTGGTTCCAGGCTCCGCAAGACTGGCTGGACTTCTCCAGTAGGTGATGGCTTAGAGTTGAGTGGAGATCAAGTCACAGCAAAGAGCGAACAGCGCTACTGCAACAGCACGCTCTTGGGAGGCAAAGCAGAGGTAGATGGGGTAGAACAGCATAAAAAGGCAGAAAATGCAAGTGAAAAGGGGCAAGCAGAAGTCACGGGCAAGAAACAAGTTGCAGAGAGTCTTGAGCAGAACATGGCATCCACTTGTCCCGAAGAAGACAGTGCTGAGGGTGGAACACAGAAGTCTGAGAGCTCTGAGCATGCAGCAGAATCTAGTGAAGAGCAGGTAGCAGCAGAGTAAGCCCAGCCCAGCAAACGCTCGATCAAGTGGAGATGACACTGCCCTGAGTGCTAGGAGCCAGCTTTAGTGATTTGGATAGCAGAAATACATGGAAGAGTAAACTTCCTTTGGGCTGATCCAGGAAAGCCCCTGTCTGACTTTCACTTTTTTTTTTTTTTTTTTTAATCATCTGTAGTAAGTTCAGTGAAATCCAGTCCTTGGTTACCCTAAAGAGAAAAACTCATATTTTAGTTGTCTTCATCTTCATGGACAGGCTGTGTCCTCTTCCTGGTTTTTATGTGGTGATCAGGACTGTCTTAGAGCAACAGAGATTTTTGCACTTTGCTTTGATTCTGGTGTGTCCCTTCTTAAAGAGAAGTGATTTGTTTCCTTGAATGAACTAGTCAAGTATTTGATAAATACATGATTTTTAATATAAGACAGCATGACCTAATTTGCCAGGCCTTTCTATTACCATGTCACTTTTTATTTTGGAAGGCTGTACCTTCCCAGGAGATTTATTCCTGGCAAAGGTGCTGTTTTCCTGAAAGAGATGAGTCTGTGAATTTCCTATCATGTAAGAGCTCTCCTCCTACAAAGAAAATAGGTTTGACTTTTTAGGCTGAGATAAAATGCATAGTCAAAACCTAGCTCTGACTGGTATTAACCTTTGTATACAGATACCGTTCTCCGGGGTGCAAAGTGCTGAGTAATTTGTTCCCTTTATCCACCCCCCCTGCCCCGAAGAAGTTGATTTGTAGTGCTTGTTAGAGTTGATAAGAAGGTGAATTGTCTACGGCTTTCTAAGAGGAAAAAAACCTTCAGACTTTGCATAAAGTGCTCTAGAGCTCTTCTTCCCTGGGTTTTTCCACCATTTTCAGACCCTTGATAGTCTCCCACAGATATATCCACTACTGATTCAGAGGCCTGCCTGCCTCAGTTGCCAAAATAGGACAAATATTTGTCACTGCATTTTTTTATTTTTTTTTTTTCCAGACTCTGCCGTTAATTTGCAGTGGCCTGTGGGACTCTTTTCTGCAGGCCTGTTGCATGAAGTTAGATGTGTCAGATCTAACCCACTTCCTAAGTCAGGGCAGGATTGTTTTACCATTCCCGATCAGCGTGTCAGACAGTGAGGGCATGGTCGAGTGCAGCATGTCTGGAAACCACAGGGCTTTGTGGGGCACTTAATTGAAAGTTTAATTGGAAGGGGGTACGCTTGTCTGGTTCATTTATTTACAGCTCTCAAGAATTTACTTTCAGACCTTGCCAGCTATTTGCCTGCTCTAATGTTGCTGACCTCCCTGTTAGCTATTCTGCTTGACTTACACACCATTCAGCCAAGTCTGAAGGAGCATTAAACAATTTAGCACTTTCACTCCTAGAGATTTACAACAGAGGATCTATTTCATGAAGCAGAGGAAACTTTCCAACAGCCGTAAGGTCTGGACTTGCTGTTTGCTCGGATTGTTTGTTTTAGTTTGGGGGTTTTTAGGTGCTATTTGTTTTGTGTAGGAGATGGCTAGAGGCTTGCCCGCCTTGCCGGAGAGCAGATGCAGTAGTCTGTGCAATGTTATTTTTTTTTTCCTCTCTGCTGCGCTCTTAAGAAGCTTCATCTTTCAAGGAATTTGCTTGGTGACTCGCCTTTCCAGACTGTAGGTCCTGATCCAGCAGGCCACATACCTGTGTGTGGGAGTAAAAGCCTGCAAGCTTAACATCTGATGTTTGTGGTCACACGTGCTGGAAAAAGGCTTTAATGATTCTAAAAACACTTCTTTCTTTTCTTCTGAACCAATGGAGTTAAACAGCCAATAAGAATACACTTACAGATATAAATACTTGAAGATGTTGAGTGAAAATTCTTTCATAAAAGATTAAATAAGAAATTGTTAATTGTGGCTTTTGTACAGATGTATAGTATATTTTTTATTTAATGAAGTTTTCATTGTGAATATGTGCTCAGTTGGGGCATAGATCATATATCGTTATGGTGATGTGGGGTTCATAATTGTGTTTCATGGGATTTCACTGTGAGCCCCAGTGTGGAGCGCTCAGACCAAGCCCTTCCCCGTCATGATCAGGTTTAGAGTTTTGGCTGTAGGGGTCTGCAGTGAGTTCACAGGATGTTTTCCAGCACTGAGCTGTATCACAGAGTCTGTTATGTTGATGTCACCTATTAAAGCATGACTTTAATGCACACCATTTCCACTCATGTGTTTTTTTTTCATCTTTGAGGGCAGGACACCACCACCACCACACCCCATAGCCATCTGCTATGTTGCTCGGGCACCTCCAGTGAGCGGTACACGGGGTGTCCAGCGTTCCCAAGCAGAGCTCTGGAGGGGCCAAACCTGCTGCTTGTTTGGGGGGAGGCGATGCTCAGTCTTCCTCCCCTGCTATAAAACGTGGCCAGTGAATGTGGTGAAAATACCCACCCCACCCTCCACATGCTTCTTGTTTAACGATACACTTTGAAATGTTTCAGTATTCCCTGTCTTGACTCTGTGCTGCCATCCTCCCAGATGTTGTGATGCTTTGCAGAGCAAACAAGGACTTTGCTTTTGAGTAATTCTCAGGGCTAGCAGGCAAGAGGGCAGCTGACCAGGCTGCATATGGGGGCCGTATTGAGCTATTGCTTCAGGACATGAGCACACAGGTGGTTTTGGGGTAATGACTTCTGTAAGTCGCTGTGTCCTTTCAGCTGTGCTTCCATCTGCCTGAGGACATGCAAGGAGAGGAGGACTCATCTTCTTCGTGTTCTGTGGGGTGGGCTTGAAGGTGCATGTTCCCGGGGCTCTTCCCTTGCCGATCATAAGCAGGCTTTGCTTGCAGCAGCCCTCCAAGCCCTGGTTTGCTGTGAGCGATGTGTGGCCAAGGAATTTGGACCTGCTTCACCTTTTCTCTTGCCATCGGTTGGCCTCAGAGCGAAGGAGGAGGTACAAGCTCTGTGCGAAGCAGTTCATGCAACTGTGCTGCTCTCCCTCTGCGGGGTTTGTGGTGTCTGGTAAAGCATTATTTACTTTAAAGCAATCTGAAGATGTACAGACACACTCACTTTGTCTCCAGCTGCTTGTTCTGTGAAATCTTGTAGGAACTGAGTAAATCTTTGAGCCCTTTATCCATCTGTCAGGGTTGGTGGAATATTGGCTGCTGGGGAGCTGGACAGGCACACACTGTGTGCTCGTATAAACCTCCTGGTGTAAGGATGCCAAACAAACCTGGTATTTCTTTTTTTTTTTTTTTTCTTTTTTTTTAAGCTTTGCTTTTCCACTTCTGCTCTCCTCTTGCTGACCAAATGAGCTGTGACATTTCAGTCCTGATGAATCTTGCCACTGTTCCTCTCCACTTCCAAGCCCTGCTTTGAATGAAATTGTCGCATCAATAAAAGGAAGCATGAAATTGGTTGCAGAAGATGCATCTTCGTGAATATATTGCCTTTTGGGATCACATAGCTGGGAACTGTCATCCTTCCATTCCTTACAAATATTTCAAAGGCAGTTCTTCCTTTTTTTTAGTTGTGGCTCTGAGAATGTTTCTCCTTTTTTTTTTTTTTTTTCTGTTTTCTAGGCAGGATTCACCATTTTCTCAAGAAATGAGTTGGCATTCTTTAGATCTCCCTGGAAAAAAAAAAAAAGCTAGATGTGAATACATCTCCAGAGATAATAAACCATCTCGGAAAGCATTAAGTGTTTCTCTAGTGCATCTTGCACTGGTTGCAGGTATATTAATTTCTCTAGTGAAGTTAGGTAACCTCAGGCACTGAGTAACTCACACTGTTGCTTTTTCCCCGTCCAGCACTGAGGTGGTGGAGGGCTTTGAGAAGTGGCCTGGGTGAGACCTAAGGAACATCTTTGTATCTCCAGCTGGAGCAGCTGAGTTTTCCTCCTGCAGTGTGTCTGCAAGTCCGGCCCTTCCTTCAGCTCCCTCCTTGTTTGCTCAAGGCTGGGGCTGCCCAGCGGGGCATGAATGAGAGCCTCTCTTCCTGACTGCCTGCTGCTCCCCCTCCTTCTCCCACCTCCTTCCGAAACCTCCTCTCTCCTCCCAGCTCAGCCCCTCTTGCCTGTGCTCCTGAGCTCTGCCCCTCCGGCTGGAGCCGCAGGTTTATCTGGAGGCAAGGAGTCTCTCCTTTGTAAGCTCAGACCCAGGAGGAGGAGGAGGGATCTGCTTGGACCCTGAAGGAGAAACAGTTTAGCGACCCAGGAGGAACGAAGCGAGGCAGAGCCTGGGCACCATGGCTGGATTCTCCGCTCTTGGGCTTCTTTTCCTATGTCAGCTATTAGCCACAACGTCAGCTCAGGTAAGAAGCCTCATTTAAGTCTTATGCTCGAGAAAAAAAGTCCCTAAGGGAAAGGATGATTATCTGTGTATATGATACCTGCAGGATGAGATGTGGCAACAGGCAGGTTATTAGAGTCAAAGGTTTATTAAAAATATGAGTGTGTAACTTGTGCTGTTACACAGAGAGCACCTAGCAAACACATCTGGTTTTGTACCTGCATAGGTAGACTTTTAGTTCGTCTCCTCGTGTAGAAACTGCTGCTTTATGCTTTCTGTAAAAGTATCATCTTCCCATTCAGGACTGCAGTTACGAGAGAGAAAGCCTTGGGAAAGGGGAGCCCTGTTGATGTAAGAGGAACGGTTTTCTTTTACAAGTAATAGGTTGCCAACGAGACTGATCTCCCGATCTGGGTCTTCATCTGAATCACAATTTCTTATTCCTTCCCTCAATCAATTTTACACTTATAAAATAGCATATTTAACCCGTGTTCGCTTCAGACGTGAAGCTATATTAAACTTCCCTGTATGGTGTGAATATTATTGCCTGGGGAAGTAACTCCTCAGTGAGATTTTTCATTGTGTTAGTGAAGAATTTTTGCAGCCTGGCTTGGGAATTCAGAGCTGCCCTCATCTGCTGCGAGCAGAGCTGCTTCTACAATGAAACCTTTGTTCACTGAAGCTACAACAAGTTGCTCTCTGGAGCCCTCTCCATACAGAAGTCATTTATTGGACCTTTTTTTCCTTCCCCCCACCTCAAACCTCCAAAATCCCAGATTTTCAAATGGCGTCTTGTTCAGAGAGGAGAATTTCCCTTTCTCCTTCTGTCTTCAGTGGTGTCCACCTGGTTCTTCCATCACCCCATGAGACTGGGACTATAAATTAATTTTTAATACCAAGCACTTGGCACCTATTTTCCGTGGGCTTTACATTTCCTCCTCTGCCTAAAAAGAAACGTGCCTGTAGGCAGTGAGAACTGTTTCCTATACAGCCAAACCCGTTTGCTCTCCAGGGACCAGCTCCGATTTCCAGCATGAGCCACCAGTTACACGAGCTGGGAGCCCTGAGGATGTGCTCAGTCAAAAGGGTTTTCCAAAGAGCCTTGCAGTGGTCCTGAGCTCCTCTGAGTCCACCCAGGATGGTGGGGGGCCCTGAGGGATGGAGGGTTAGTGCAGACTAAAGGTTAAGCTGTAGGGCATTGCCGTTGCTTTCTGACTTACCCCATATGTTTCTTCTAATGCAAAAATAAACTCTTTCTCTCTTTCCCCAATCCTTTCAGAGAGTAGGACCACAAGGCCCTCCTGGACCACGAGGACCCCCTGGACCGTCTGGCAAGGACGGCATAGACGTGAGTGCCGCTTGGCAGAGGGCAGGCTCGGCTGAGGGAGAGGGGTGGAGCAGAGGCAGAGCCAACGGAGCAGAGAAGCTGCTCTTGTTCTCCAGACCCCCAGCCTTTGGGTCATCCTTCAGAGGTGGGTGGACCTAGAGAACCAGCCTACTCACAAGAGACCTTCTTCTGCAAGAGTCAGAACAGCGAGTGGAGGTGCTGAGTGGCCTCAGGTTCTCTGCAAGGTCAATCCCCTGTCTCAGGAGAGAGCTGGGGACAGAGCCAGGAATTTGTGACCCTGCTCACAAAGCAAAGTATTTCTCTTTTTGGTGTCTAGGGAGGAGGGGGAACATGATACAGTTGAGTGCGTGGGTACGATGTGCCTCGGGATCATTGCATGTTCAGAGAGAGGTTTGTGTGACACTTCAGGGCATCCACGTTTCTCGAGAGGCCCCGAGAAACTCGGATAGGCAGGACTGGACACTGCTTTTACTTATACTGGTTTTATTTCAGCATTGTTTGTATGGCTATCCCTAATTTACATTGGCATGTACGAGGTCAGAATCTGGCTTGTGTGTTTCCAGACACGAGTTGCATTTGGTGGCACAAAATGAAATGGGCACGCTTTATTTCACAAGGCAGTTCCTTATACGTACACCTCCTGCAGAGGTAACAGACTGTGTACCACAGGACTTACTGGAGGAGAAAAACTTGTCCTGTTACTTTTAATTGGTGGTTCCATAGAAGTGAGAAATTTTTACTTCTGTACATCTGTTGGATAAGGACTGGATTGTATCCTGCAGTTGGCAGTGGATAAAAAGAGCATCAGATGGACCTTCAACAAGACCACATCAAATGCAGAAGGCCAGACTCCTGCTTCAATACTCTGAGTAGTGCTTGTCTCTCCAAGCTGCCTATGGAATAGGATAGGGGTTTTTTTAAAGCTTGTCTGAAGTAAATTTATTGGAATTGGGTCTTTAAGCAACCTTGAAAAAAATCTATTCATTCCATGCAGGTCATTTTCTTTTGGATAAGAAAGTAAAAAAAAAAAAAAAAAAAAAAAAAAAAAAAAAAAAAAAAAAGATATATGAGTTCCCTGGTATATGGTGAACAAGGAGCTTTTTTGTCTGCAGTGGTGAGCTTTCATAGTGGCTCTGTGAGCAAGGCTGGTCTGAAGAGAGAACCTCATTGATTTGCAGCTAGTCCCTCTAAGGTGTCCTTTCGACTAATGGAGGCTGTTGTACTGAAAATCTCACCCTGGTTTTGTAGCATGAAAAGCTCAGAGCTGGTACCTCGATGGTTTCTCTCTGCTGTTTTTCACAAGATGATAAAAGGCTGAAGAGGACACCCTGGAAGAGGGCCCAGGACACACATTCATGTTCGCAGCAGGGAGCCTGTGGACTGCAGTGGGACATCAGTGCGGCTTCAGGAAAGGGTGGCTGCATTTCTGTACGGAGGGAAAAAGAAGAATTTGGGAGGGATGAAGCCCTTCAGACTTCAAGTTGTAATCAACTTCTGCATATAGGCAATTGGAAAGAAACAAATCGCTGGAATTGTGTTGCTCAGTTCCTGCTTTCTACAGGATATTTTATGCC